CGCGAAATCGGCGGGAACCTCGTCAACTAATAATTTTATTTACCATTCGAGATTTCACACGAGATTTCACGCGAAATCGGCGGGAACCTCGTCAACTAATAATTTTATTTACCATTCGAGATTTCACACGAGATTTCACGCGAAATCGGCGGGAACCTCGTCAACTAATAATTTTATTTACCATTCGAGATTTCACACGAGATTTCACGCGAAATCGGCGGGAACCTCGTCAACTAATAATTTTATTTACCATTCGAGATTTCACACGAGATTTCACGCGAAATCGGCGGGAACCTCGTCAACTAATAATTTTATTTACCATTCGAGATTTCACACGAGATTTCACGCGAAATCGGCGGGAACCTCGTCAACTAACCGCCTTTTGCAAAATCTTCAGAGATAAAGTTCTTAGTCTCCAGCCTTACAAGATAAATCGCACAGTGTTAAGATTTTTATTGGCGGCAAAGGGTACGTGTTCAGTTACCGCGGTACTGGCATTATACTACCGCCAAGGTAGACTTGCAGCTGATACAACCTTTACTTACTGAGTGTGTGATGCGAAGAATTGGTTGCTAAGGTAATTGGTTATGTCTAAGACATAACCAAGACATTGTCTTATGACCAAATTGCGTGAAAAAGGACCATTCTTATTCTAGACTTGTAGTGCTATATAATTATACAAATTATAATTCGTCAAACTATGCTACCATTACTAGCTCTAGTAACGCACGAAGGGTCGTTGTCGTATAGGGTATACTACATATATGGGTTCAAGGATAGAGAACATGGGGCCCATTGAAACCTATGTCATTTTCGTAAATGTGGGGGTAGCCCCTTTAAAATCGACAGGGGTACTGGTGAGGGTGTTCTTTGTTCATTTCAACCGATAAACATGATGTGAGTTAACAGGAAGTGTCGAAAAAAATGCGTTCAAGCGACCCTACTCGCCCGTAACTATAGCCCGCGTACGGTACGGCTGAAGCTAGCCAGCGGCAACCGTACATGGGCTATAGTTACTAGAGCTATGCTACCATATACTTAACTTAGTAACTACTACCAGTGTTTATGATCTTTATCTACTCTATATATATCTATACCATATATTATCTATATTATCTATACTATATATATCGGCTGTTATTACGGCATTTTTTACGCCCATCATTTTCTGGAAAAACGCTTATCAAATTTTCAGCTGCAACACGCAATCCCACCAGGATGTTATTATATGCAGCACAGTTGAGTTGGTAATACATTATGGCTAACTAGGCAATGAGACCTCAATTTTATAATTATACACTACAGCTAGTTAGTTGATATAAATTGTGACCAAGCAATAAAATATGCAGATGAAGATTACAGGGCTGCCAACATTGGATGATAGGCGA